TTAACACAAGCCTATCCGATGTTATCCTGACGCCAAATGACTTCGAACAGGAGATAAATGACATGCCCATGCACTCTGCCCCAGGGCCAGACTCATGGAACTCCGTGTTCATCAAGAACTGCAAGAAGCCCCTATCACGAGCTTTCACCATCCTATGGAGAGGAAGCATGGACACGGGGGTCGTCCCACAGTTACTGAAAACAACAGACATAGCCCCACTCCACAAAGGAGGCAGTAAAGCAATAGCAAAGAACTACAGACCGATAGCACTAACATCTCATATCATGATAAATTAGACACATGTGCAACTCTTGGGTATCTTTATTGAGGAAACGTTTCGCCACACAGTGGCTTCATCAGTCCATACGTAGGAGAAACTTGAAGAACAGGAGGAGAATGAGGTAATCAGTCCCTCAACCTTGAGTCGATGTGTTCAGTCCATCAATCTTGAATAGAATACGGCATATGAGCGGAGAAGCAGCTTATAAACCGTATGGCAGGAGAGGTGCAGCAGTCATTGGTGGTGTCACATTTGTTCAATGTGGAAGTAGGTCGTGCCCAAGAATTAGACAAGCGAAGAATTCCTAAGTAATAAGATCCCAAGAAGTTGCAGTGTCTGACAGGTTTGTAGATGAATGGTTCAGAGAACCGACATGTTGAAAAATTAGACACATGTGGAACTCTTGGGTATCTTTAAGGGATTGAACCCGCGGTCATAGAGTCTCAAAACTCCAGCCCGTCGCGTTAGCCACTAGACCAGCTAGCCACAATAAGATTCATCCAACTATGTATATTTCTACACCATAGGAAGGTTAGCACAGGCACCACTGTGACCACAAATGCAAGTTTTTACAGACGAATCTCCAGCTAGCGTGGCCGTGACGAACTCTAGCTCAAGTCCCTTCACTGCCGTCAACATGTCGGCAGTGAAGATTCGTCTGTAAAAATTTGCATTTGTGGTCACAGTGGTGCCTGTGCTAACCTTCCTATGGTGTAGAAATATACCTAGTTGGATGAATCTTATTGTGGCTAGCTGGTCTAGTGGCTAACGCGACGGGCTGGAGTTTTGAGACTCTATGACCGCGGGTTCAATCCCGGCCGGGGGTATGGTTTGTTTGCAATCGTGTCATTACGATTTCTTGAGTCTTGGGTATCTTTATTGAGGAAACCTGTCAGACACTGCAACTTCTTGGGATCTTATTACTTAGGAATTCTTCGCTTGCCTAATTCTTGGGCACGACCTACTTCCACATTGAACAAATGTGACACGACCTATGACTGCTACACCTCTCCTGCCATACGGTTTATAAGCTGCTTCTCCGCTCATATGCCGTATTCTATTCAAGATTGATGGACTGAACACATCGACTCAAGGTTGAGGGACTGATTACCTCATTCTCCTCCTGTTCTTCAAGTTTCTCCTACGTATGGACTGATGAAGCCACTGTGTGGCGAAACGTTTCCTCAATAAAGATACCCAAGAGTTGCACATGTGTCTAATTTATAAACGTGGGTTCTCTAAAACCCATTCTCTACATCCCAACCAAAAATTTTTTAAAGGATCCACGAAAAAGTCGCCACACACTAGTTACCCATCATTACACAAACCGGGGCAACAGGGTTAGGCGGGTCGCTCCGCTGTCTCAGCTACGGATCACTACGAAAAGGTCTTAGAGACTAAAAAAAAAAAGAATGCAGATGTAATATAACAGACTTTGCAAAACCTTTGCAAGTGTGCGATGGCTTAATAGGCCAAAATGCGTGCTAAAAAAAATAACGGGAAAAGTTGGTGATGGATCTAAAATTTCCTTACAAACAAACAAAAAGAGTGTAGTCAACAGAGTAAAGTCTGAGGGGCTATGGTGAAAAAGCTCTGTTCCACAAGGCACAGTACTCGCACCATCTTGTTTTCCCCTCATACAGACAAGACAAGGATGTCGCCCAGCACCGTGTCTTACTTTGCAGATGACACCCGATCTCAGACGTGTTTTCCCATTGCAACACTGAAAGGTCCAGGGGGACAAAACCAAATTTTTTGGGCTGCAGAAAAAAATACGAATTTCAACCTGAGAAATTTAATTCTCTGATATGGTAACCAGAGGAAATTAAAACTTCATCAGAGTACAAACAAAATTCCTTTCCCAAAAAAATAGAGAAAAAAACAACGTAAAAGCCCGGGAGTGACATGTCGGGGGATCTCCTTCAAGGCATAAATTGATAAATCGCTCTGTGAAAAAGGAAGGATGGAAAATGAGCCCCTTAAAAAACTAGGGATGCCAACCCAATGAGACACTCTTAAATTTCGCTTTACTATCTAGGCTGGAATATTGCTGCACACAAACGCCCTTTCAAGGCAGGTGAAATTGCTGACCCAGAAAATGTACAGAAACTTTCACGGCGCAAATTTCCCGGGGAAAAAAACCTCAATTACGGGAGAGCTTGAAGTTCCTGAACTGTACTCCCCGGAATGCAGGCGGGGGGAGATAATGATTATGTACACATGGAAAATCCTAGAGGGATGTACCGAATTGTACACAAAATCATCACAACTAAAACAAAAGACTGGCGGCGATGCAACATCCCCCCAATGAAAAACAGGGGTTCAATAGCACTTTAAGGACCATACAATAAGTGTCATGGGCCCCGGGTGTTCAATGCCCCCCGCATCATAAGGGGGGATTTCCAACAGAACCCCTGGCTGTCTTCAAGCAGGGACTGCCAAGACCTAAAGTCGGGACCTGACCACCGGGCTGTGGCTCCCAGTTGGATTTCGTGCAGCCCGCAGTAAACGCTTGGTTATCAGGCTCTGATCCCCCAGGGGGCCTGGTCACAGACCGGCCCGGGGGTTTTGACCCCCCGGAAACTCTCTCCGGGTTAACCCCGGGTAATAGTTAAAGGGCCTTCCCAAGGAAGGCAGCATGCTTGGACACGTTTTTAAAGTGGAACTTTTTAGCAAAAAGAAACAAAAGAATCTCATTTTCGGTTTTACAAAAATTTTTAGTTTGGAGGCACTCTATTAAATGGAGACCAGCGTATTTGTGTTGTGTTGTGTGATGTTTTTTGTATATGTTTGTGTGTATGTTTTGTGTGTATGTTTGTGTGTATGTTTGGTGTATGTTTGTGTGTTTGTTTGTGGTGTGTTTGTGTGTGTGTTTGTGTGTAATGTTTGTGTGTATGTTGGTGTGTATGTTTGTGTGTATGTTTTTGTGGGGTGTTTTGTGTAGGTATTTTGTGTGTATGTTTGTTGGGTATGTTTGTGTGTATGTTGTGTATATGTTTGTGTGTATGTTTGTGTGTATGTTTGTGTGTATGTTTGTGTTATGTTTGTGTGTGTGTTTGTGTGTATGTTTGTTTGTATGTTTGTTGTGGTGTATGTTTGTGTGTATGTTTGTGTGTATGTTGTGTGTATGTTTGTGTGTTTTTTGTGTATGTTTGTGTGTATGTTTGTGTGTATGTTTGTATGTATGTTTGTGTGTATGTTTGTATGTATGTTTGTGTGTATGTTGTGTGTATGTTTGTGTGTTTGTTTGTGTGTGTGTTTGTGTGTGTGTTTGTGTGTGTGTTTGTGTGTATGTTTGTGTATATGTTTGTGTGTATGTTTGTGTGTTGTTTGTGTGTTGTTTGTGTGTATGTTTGTGTGTTTGTTTGTGTGTGTGTTTGTGTGTGTGTTTGTGTGTATGTTGTGTGTATGTTTATGTGTATGTTTGTGTGTATGTTTGGTGTGTGTTTGTGTGTATGTTTGTGTGTTGTGTTTGTGTGTATGTTTGTGTGTATGTTTTTTGTGTATGTTTGTGTGTATGTTTGTGTATATGTTTGTGTGTATGTTTGTGTGTATGTTTGTGTGTATGTTTGTGTGTATGTTTGTGTGTGTGTTTGTGTGTATGTTTGTGTGTATGTTTGTGTGTATGTTTGTGTGTATGTTTGTGTGTATGTTTGTGTGTATGTTTGTGTGTTTTGTGTGTATGTTTGTGTGTATGTTTGTGTGTATGTTTGTGTGTATGTTTGTGTGTTGTTTGGGTGTGTATGTTTTGTGTGTATGTTTGTGTGTATTTTTGGGTGTGTTTGTGTGTATGTTTGTGTGTATGTTTGTGTGTTGTTTGTGTGTTTGTGTGTATGTTTGTTTTGTATGTTTGTGTGTATGTTTGTGTGTTTGTTTTGTGTGTATGTTTGTGTGTATGTTTGTGTGTATGTTTGTGTGTATGTTTGTATGTATGTTTGTGTGTATTTTTTGTATGTATGTTTGTGTGTATGTTTGTGTGTATGTTTGTGTGTATGTTTGTGTGTATGTTTGTATGTATGTTTGTGTGTATGTTTGTGTGTATGTTTGTGTGTATGTTTGTGTGTATGTTTGTGTGTATGGCACAGTGAAGGAACTGGGATAAGAACTCTATTCCGTTGAACGAAGATTATTCAACGATTCTAATAAGGTCAGTTTAAAAGCTGTGCTCCTTCACATTGGCACTAAAAAGACATTTGTGAAAATGAACTATCCTGTGGTATTAAAGGAAACATACGAGTCCATGGAAATTAAACTCAGACTAACAAAATACTACGACCACATGCGGAATATAGGTGGAGACCACAAACTTGTAGGTAATACTTCATTTTTAGCTTACTAACACAGAACACATATGCTTCTTTAGTCTGTGAAATAATCGTGACGATGCTAACCACACATTTGCTTCTTTAGTCTGTGAAATAATCGTGATGATGCTAACCACACATATGCTTCTTTAGTCTGTGAAATAATCGTGACGATGCTAACCACACATATGCTTCTTTAGTCTGTGAAATAATCGTGACGATGCTAACCACACATTTGCTTCTTTAGTCTGTGAAATAATCGTGACGATGCTAACCACACATATGCTTCTTTAGTCTGTGAAATAATCGTGACGATGCTAACCACACATTTGCTTCTTTAGTCTGTGAAATAATCGTGACGATGCTAACCACACATATGCTTCTTTAGTCTGTGAAATAATCGTGACGATGCTAACCACACATTTGCTTCTTTAGTCTGTGAAATAATCGTGACGATGCTAACCACACATTTGCTTCTTTAGTCTGAAATAATCGTGACGATGCTAACCACACATATGCTTCTTTAGTCTGTGAAATAATCGTGATGATGCTAACCATACATATGCTTCTTTAGTCTGTGAAATAATCGTGACGATGCTAACCACTACAAGATCAATAATAGCTGGCAAGAAAAAGACCTTCTTTCAGTAAAATTCAATATACTACATATACTTCGGTCTGGAGTTTTATGATTCTCTGACCGTGGGTTCTATCCCCACCCACGGTATGGTTTGAATGCAACATATGCATCTAGTGAATCCTCAGTTAAAAGACATTTTTTGCACCATTACAAATAAAGTTGGGCTTAAATAAAAACTTTGTAAGGATTATTGGTGGTGAAGGTGCAGGAATTTTGTGCCAAAATGAAAAATTTGGAGTTTTAACTGACGTAAAACTTTAGGCCGCATTATTTAGTGGGCCACAATAACGAATATATTAATCCGACCCAGTGTTCCTATCAAAATTGACCCCACTGGAGTAGGCTGCATGCGAGGCTTTCAAAATGGTTAGGTTAGGTTAGGTTCGTCAGGAAACAGGACAAATGTTTCCTGACGCGGGTCTTAGTCAGATGATGACCCGCCTTTGGAGCTTTTGGTCATCTGACCGAGGCCTTCCGCTGGCTTACCGGTCCACCCCTTTAAAAATTATGGTCATTTATAACCATTGTTATATTTTTTTTCAAATGGTTGTTTAGAACCTCCAAGAAAGACATAAAACAGACAATTATGCCAAGTTACTGTAACACAACAGAAGCACACAGAGAACTGAACTTATTTATAATCTTGAAAATACACTTTCTTCGTTTACACTTGGACTTGTTTGCTTTTAATCTCGGTCTTGTTCGTGATGAGCTTAGTAAAATACTTATTTCATCAGGATATCACTATAATAAACGTACGCCATCAGTGGAGTTTCAGTCCAACGTGATACACTTTTAAATATTTTCTTGAGTATCCGCACTGCATGTCCATCACAGGTGCAAATCACCTACCTTTCACCTCAATATATAAACTTGCACAGCACAACCACCTTCATGACTGCTGGAACAATAATGAAGGGCAGTCACACTGTTGGAACCTGTTGTGATATGCAGGTCTATATTGAAAAGTAGAGCAAATAAACAATTTTAATAATGATATTCATTGTTAGTGATCTAAAGTTAGTTGGAAATTACTACTTTGGTCTCTGAATCATTTTGGCTGTTGACCAGTGTAATCACAGTGTTTATTTTACAACATGCACTAACCTCAGCCTTACTCTCCTTATACAAATTTTTAGCAGTCTGCTTTAAGTATTAAAGAAGCCTGTACACTATGTCCATCTCCACCTTTTCAAATTCCGTTAACATTCCTAAAATTTATTCTTCCTTATCTCTGTATTTCTTGCTTATCAGCTGTAAAGTGAGAAATTAATGTATACTTAATTAGAGGGAATAGATTTTGGGAAACTGATAAAACAAACTTCAGTTCAGGAGATGAAAATTACAATAGAAGGAAACAGTGACTTTGTCTTGGCAATTATGCAAATCGCGTTTAACAGATTTATAATTCAATATGTGAGAATATTTATCTTGTTAACAAGGATCTTTGGGAGCTGTAGGCCTATCAGCTTCCTCAATCTGCCTCTACGCAAAAAAAAAAAATATTATATAAAATTACTTTGTTGAAAGTAAATGTCCTGACTAACTCGCTAGTTCTGTCGTACATCAATAAGAAAAAACTTATACAAAACAAAATCCATTATTTACAGTGATGTTGTGCTTTTGTTTCCATCTGTGGATTACTGAAAAGGGTCACCAGTGTATACATTTTGCAAAAGAGAATGCATGCGACAATAGGATGTATATTGCTAAATTATACATGATAGTGTTCGCTGTGAGCTACACCCTGTTTGTTATTCACTACAGCTTTCTGAGGCAGAACCGTTCTTCAGCATCTCTTTATAAAAATGGAAATTATGAAAAATTATAAAAAAAAATATAATTAAACATCATATGTTGCTTAACAGTAAAAGTCGTACCTGAATATCTGGATGAAGACCAAGAATATACAAGATGGAGTTGATGGCTGAAGCTGTGGTGTCGTGACCAGCAAACATGAAAGTGTCCACTTCCTTCCGAATTTCTTCATCATTGAAGTCCGGATTCTCTTCTGAGTATTCCAACAAAAGATCCAGGAAAGCTCGACGGTTTTTAATTCCTGCGAACACAAGATTATACATTAAAAAAAACTTTGTGTCCCCCCCCCCCAAAAAAAAAAATATACAATTTTCTTTGAATGATTAATAAATAATTTTTCATTATAGAGTAAAACACATTTGCTTTTGCTCGAATCCTACTTGAAAAATAACCATATTTTTGCTTAATATAATGTGTATTTTTAGTATTCTTCTAGGAATATATTACGAATAGGAGATCTTTTTTAAAAAGGTTTAGGATTACCCCGGGTTACGTTTTCTTCTCAAGGAGAAAAAGGGGGGGAGTCTCCTTTTATCGGAATACAGTTATTGAAACAAATTCCTTGATGTTTCGTTTATATCAATCTTAATCAAAAGGAGTAAATCAAGACAAAGCCGTCTATACTATGTTAACTTTAATGAACATATTTATCTTCATTCAGAATATACAATAAAAGGTATATTCAAATTCTTATGATTTGGGCCCATTAAATACTAAGCAATTTCAATGCTTAAATAGACCAAGTTAATATTCTTTGAACATACTATTTAAATTAATATATATACTTCCTTACTGCTCAGATAGAGGTACCACTTTTCCAATAACCGAGAAAACACCAATTTCCCAAGCTCGTCCTTGCATTAGGGAGATGTATGCAAACACTAAAATAATCCTCGAATAGATGAGTTGGTCTGTTTCCCCATTCACAGGCCAGACACAGGTATGGTAGGATTGTGGACAGTGGAGTCAGAGTGCACCTGCTGTGGATTCCATCTCACATTGGTCTTCAGATGCATGATAGAACTGATAAATTGGCTAAGCTGTATGCTTTCAAAGAGGGAGTAGATTACAATCTTGGCTTGTCAGGTAGTAGTTTGAGAACAATAATACGAAAAGAACTTCAGCTGAATTTTATGGACTTAAGGCTCAGGGAGATTGACACCAGTGAGTCCATCTATCATCATTCTATCATGCAGGAGGAGCCACATGTCTATGGTGCATCCAACAAAATAAGCAGACTCTTGGATGTCACTACCGCCCGGCTCCGGCTGGGTTACAAGTATCTTTGGCAGGTTAAATCACCACCACCAGATGTAGACCAAACGAAATGTAAACTTTGCCAGATGGATTATTGTCACACCCTGCATCATTATGTACTGGAGTGCGATAAAATTAATGAATTTAGAAACAACTCACTCAGAAGTGTTCAAGAAATGGCAAAGTATTTTATCCACAGTGGTATATTACAGACCATTCTGGAGAAATACCCTGACTTTGCTAGCTGTAAATAAAGCATTACCACATATGTGCATGTGTGTGTGTGTGTGTGTGTGTGTGTGTGTGTGTGTGTGTGTGTGTGTTTGTGTGTATGTGTATGAGTGTGTGTGTGTGTGTGTGAGTGTGGGGTGTGTGTGTGTGTGAGTATGAGTGTGTGTGTGTATGAGTGTGTGTGTGTGTATGAGTGTGTGTGCGTGTGTGTGTATGAGTTTGTGTGTGTGTGTGTGTGTGTGTGTGTGTTGTGTGTGTGTGTGTGTGTGTGTGTGTGTGTTTATGTGTGTGTGTGTATGAATTTTTATGTGTGTGTGAGAGAGAGAGAGAGAGACTCAGCAATTTAACATTTGCACCAATAACTCACTACAGTTTGTGACCGGTGTGGAAGTGTGAATTGCTCATTACTCTAAAATTTGTTCATGATTGCAGCCATGTATAAACGTAAGTAACCATTCTTACAGTATTCATTACCTTTGTAAAATTGTGAGTTCATTACCTTTGTAACTTGTGAGTTCATTACCTTGTACCTAGTTCAGCCATCAAAACTTTGGAGCCCGGTCCCTGGACCCATTGTGTACCTCTGTAATCTGTAAATACCTTTGTAACTTGTCATGATTGTGACTAGACCTACCTGGAGTTCATTTCCTTTGTAAATTGTGAGTTCATTACCTTTGTAAATTGTGAATTCATTACCTCTGTAACTTGCAAAGCTATCAAAACTTTGAGGCCCAGTCCCTGGACCAATTATGTACCTCTGTAATCTTTTGACTACCGCCCACAGGATGGGTATGGGGTGAATAATAAACATATTAAACTAACTAACAGGGTAGACGAGGAAGAGCCAAAGCTAAGTAGGACTGTTCCGGCTTGTCCGAGAGAGACTGCCGGGAACAAGCCTCGTGAATGGCAGGTAAACAGAAGGCGCCAAATCATGACGTCATAAACAACCCAACTCTTGGACAAAGTCGAGCTTGTTATACTTAACCGTACATATATACACAAATGATGAAGTATGACTGATAATACTATGACGATCCAGCGGCTTCGGTTTAGGTATTACCGAAGCAGCTAGCGAGATAGTATTATCTGGATGATAAAAGCAAAGAAATATTACGATACATCGTAACAGAATATCATAGATTAAATTTATTAAATAATGCTTAGATAAGTTATTTAGAGTTATGCTGTATTCAGATTAATTTTAGTAGATTTATAGCATAAATAAATATATGTACACACAGGGAGAAGCCTTAGGACTCATCCTCAATCCCTCCAAGTGTGAAATCATTACAATGAACCAAGAAATAATCAATTCTGCGCGAACAATCCTCCCGGAAGTCTCTACTACCACTCCATCCAACAGTACCCTCTTGGGAGCACCGCTGGGTCACCAGGCCATCGACACGGTCCTCAAGGACAAATTGAATGGCCTGAAGAGAATGAAGGAGAGAATAAGCAACCTTGATGCCCATGATGCAATGTATCTCTTCACAGGTGTCTTACTATGCCAAGACTCACTCACTTCCTGAGGTGCGCACCTTCTTTTGACAACCCAATACTCAACGAATATGATGCACTCTTGAGATCAACCTATAAGGAAACACTGAATCTGTCATTAGAAGATCTGCAATGGGATCAGGCAACCCTCCCAGTGCGACCGGGAGGTATAGGGGTGCGCAAAGCAATGCTGGTAGCTTTACCTGCATTCCTGGCTTTGTGTCTGGCTTCCAGTGGATTAGTCAAGAAGATTGTCCCTGAACGCTTGAGAGATGCATAGGAGCTCAAGACCCTAGGCTCACTGAAGCAGCCATGCGGTGAGATAGCCTTACAGACTCCTCCAGTAGATCAGCTCCTCCCAAAGGGGAAAAACAGTCCCACTGGGACAAACCGATCATGGAAAAAATCGCCAGTGCAATGCTCACAAATGCTTCAGGAAAGGACATAGCTCGTCTCCTAGTAGTGAAGGCACCACACTCAGGAGATTTCCTTCTAGCTGTTCCCAATTCCTCCGTGGGTACTCGTCTCGATCCACAGGCCATTCGGATTGGTGAAGCTCTTCGCCTAGCCACCCCCATCCTCACCAAACATAGGTGTATTTGTGGCAGGGCAACGGCTGATTAATTCGGACCTCATGGTCTCGTGTGTCACACATCAGAAATGAAGTATACCAGACATGAGGAGGTCAGCGACATCATAAAGAGAAGCCTCGCCACAGCCCGTTGCCCAGCCCAACGGAAGGCCCATGTGCAGAGGTCTGATGGAAGTCAAAAGCGTCCAGATGGAGCCGCTATGCTACCCTTGAAGGATGGTAAGCAGATTGCCTGGGACTACACCTGTGCTGCCACACTGGCAGACACCTACTTGCCATACTCTGAAGCTAAAGGGGGTAGAGCTACCAGCCACAGGGAAACCCAGAAGTCCCGCAAATGTGAAGGCCTTCCCCCTTGCTATAACTTCATCCCAATAGGGTCGGAGACCATTGGAGCATGGGGCAAGTGTGCTCTAAAGTTCCTCAAAGAGCTGGGTGAAAAACTCATCATAGAAACAAAGGACAACAGGGTGGCCAGCTTCCTCTTTCAGAGACTCAGTGTCGCGATTCAGAGGGGAAATACCTGCAGCATTCTGGTCACATGGCCCACCGCCTGGTAGCTGGATGAAGTTTTCGAGATGTATTTCTGAGTGTTTATCCATGTTATTCAACTCCCTATTGCATTTTTGTCGATGTATATTGTCTTTAAATAAAGTGTCTATAAATTTAATATAGTGGGTAGAAGGAGAAAATTTTCAAACAGCTTCAGGAAGAACCTTGAGTTTTCCCTAAAGCAAGTTTATTCTTTTCTCTGAGGATGATGGGCCCCAGGACAGTTCCATAGGTGGTACCTCCCTATATTTTATATATATATATATATATATATATATATATATATTATATATATATATATATATATATATATATATATATATATATATATATATATATTCAAGTACACGGCTAGCAGTACCCTATCTTACATTCCTAAAGCGGTTCGCCCATATGCAGCAGGGAAATTCACAGACCTTCTTAATGGTGCCTCGGGCTTCTAAGTTGGTGGAACCTCTATTCACCTGCTTAAAACATGGTGCAACCTACTCCTGTTCGGCAATGTCTGTCTTACAGTTCCTGAAAGACGAGGCAAACTGCTAACCATATCAGTCATCAAGACAGTGCGCAACTACCGAGGAACGAATAATTGTGTCCCTCTGCCCCATCATCACAGGAATCACAGAAGTAGACCAAAGAAATATTCCACCGAAAACGAAAAAAAACTGCGCACAGGTTATCAAAAAAATCGAAGAAGGTTACATAGTGGGAGCAATCAGATTAATTACCAGTGACGACACTGTAGCTCCCAAACATGAGACCACAGCCCAAGCATTAAGAGACAAGCATCCAACAAGAGACATCATAGTCGTCAACAGCAACCTTGAGGAAGACTCCATCACTAAACAATTAATTTTGCCAGAGTCAGAAGTCTATGAGGTGATAATGTCATTTCCAGCAGGATCTGCAGGAGGTTACACTGGAATTCGGTCACAACACCTCAAAGAGATGGTAATCCAGTACTCCCGGCATCTGCATCCATTCTTCTCACAGAGTTAACAACTTTCGTCAACAACTGCCTGGCTGGGCGGATCCCAGACGAAATTAAACCTTACTGTTTTGGAGCCTCGTTATGCCGTTTGGAGAAGAGGGATGGGGAAATCAGGCCCATCGCTGTTGGTAACACTCTTCACCGTCTCATTGCCAAAGCAGCAGTAAGAAACATTCCCCGTAGAAGCTGGCAGTTTACTCCAGCCGCACCAATTGAGCTTTGTGGGTCGAGTTGCTATGAAATCATCAGGGTTGTAATTTGGTTTCGGCGCGGAATATAACAACTTATCTATATATCTATACACCATACAACGCATAATATGGAGTGTCACCTATAGAAGCATTGTAAGCAGAATTTATGGCACACTGAACATCAGGTATGACTTCATCCCAAGTTTCACTATTGGGGTTGATAGTGCCTCTTAAAACATCAAGTACTTTCTTGTATGTTCGTTCAACCAAGCCATTACTTGCAGGATGATGAGGAACAATGGTTGATTTAGAGATCTTGTACAAAGCTCACAACTTTTCAAGAATCTCATTACAGAATTCACCTCCGTTATCTGTTATCAGGGACTTAGTGGTATATATCTACAGATTACACGCTCTTTCAACACTTTAGCTACAGTCTCGGCAGTCTTATCTGCAATAGGCACTAACTCACAGTACCTGGAGAAATGGTCTACGAGGGTATTCGCTCTGAGTCAAACACTGTGACATTAGGTATTAGCTGTAAAGAGACTGCTCGTACAATCGTTAACAACACGTAAAGATGACTCGAGGAACATTTTTTTACGTTGCAAGGATTACTGTCAACAAGGATATTATCACGATCTGGAACACAAGGGACAACATCAACACTCTAGCGAGCACACTAGCCACAGAGACGTCTTTCTGCAACGGATTGTGACATCAGCAAGAGATGGCATAACTAATGAGTTATGCCATTGCAACGGCAAGTAATCTTTCTTCACAAAGCATCCCCTGGGAGGAACGACCACTTGAACAAGTCACCATCGCAGGGATAGTAGTCTCAGTACCCAGGGTTGTCTAAGGTTCCTCTGAAACCCAAGGTAACTGTACACTATCCTGCATGCACGATATTATAGGGGCTGGATTCGAGACAGAAGTGACAGTTTTACTAGCGCCTGACCGCTAGGCTACGTTAATAAATAATTCACAGATCTACATGAACTTAATCTGAACTTCACATTCCGCAGCACTGACAATTCTCAGATACAAGCTGTGAGAACAAACATATTGTCAAAGAGCTAGATACTATCTTTCAGTCGGTAAGGGATTAACTGGATTGTGTACTGAATCATTATTGCGTGGACTGTCATAATTCACTAAATTATCACCCAAAGTTACTTGAGACATGATGGCAAAGAATGGACACGAGAATACAAAAAGCAACAATAATAAAAGAAGGTAATAAATGGTATAAAATACCGACACAAGGACTGACGATACAAGGAATGCCTGTGTACAGCATCGCAATTCACACAACCATTTAATTAACTACAGAAACTCAAGACTTATAGCCACAGAAGACAACACTCAATACAGAAGAATCCTGGAATCATCGCTTATCTCTATAACCAACATTTTCAACCAGAACAATGGCTTCTATAACATAGCTGAACCACTCGCCAAGAAACTTCTTCATTGCTATCCCACATAAGAACATAGAACACTGCAGAAGGTCTACAACTTATCCAATACCCCTGCCAAGCTACCCAAGACTCTATAACCCCACCCGGTGGATCATCAGATGCAGCATTCTCCACCTGACCTCAACATTCTGACTATAAATACTCTCGTACCTTCCAACCCCAGGTAGATCCGTGTGTGACTTGAGAAAGCCCACTGTGTGGGTGAAACGTTGTCAATAAAGGATCACATTATACTGCATTTGTGTTTATATTTCCAATAATAAAAGAAATTATACGAGACAATATAGCTTAAATGAGATTAAAAAAAATGCTTATCTAATCTGCATAAGCAATGAGGATGAACAAGAGACGCTGCAGAGCAAAGAAAACTCACTGAATTTTACTCGGCAAGATAAGACAACACTGAAATTCAAGGGAAATCTTACTTTAATTTGAATTAATAGTAAGGTGAGTTGTCTTTACTCTCAATTCAATAAAGAAATTCAATAATAAATGATAAATAAAAAAAATAATGTAATAGAATCAATAAATCTTGTGCAAAATCAAAATGGACTGGGAAGGAAATTCTCGAAAAGAAAAAAAAATTGGCACAATTATTAAAATATTATGGTATAAACCTTGGTAATAAATACCGACAAGTTGGTTTAGAAAGACACGTAAGCAAACACTATAACATATTTATTAGAAAACGTTTCGGTCCTGGGACCTTGATCACTTCTAACCGTTAAAAGTGATCAAGGTTAGAAGTGATCAAGGTCCCAGGACCGAAACGTTTTCTAATAAATATGTTATAGTGTTTGCTTACGTGTCTTTCTAAACCATTAAAATATTATGCATTGAGAACACAAGTAAATGTAAAACTGGAATCACAGAATATTACACTGAATTATACTTTAACACTATTGCAAATGATAATTACTAAGCAGGAATTGCAGCACAAAACAACACTATAAAGAATTATGAAAGAAAACAAATCGAATCACTGCATAATCTTTAAATTGCACAAAAATTCAGTGCAGAATTAATTAATAAATCAATAAAATTGCACACACAAGGAAATACAGCTTAGAAGAAGAATAAAAATATCAAGAATTAACAGGCTGAACACACTAACTTACTTTCAACTTAGGCAAACAATTACTTTCAACTTAGGCAAACAATTACTTTCAACTTAGGCAAACAATTACTTTCAACTTAGGCAAACAATTACTTTCAACTTAGGCAAACAATTACTTTCAACTTAGGCAAACAATTACTTTCAACTTAGGCAAACAATTACTTTCAACTTAGGCAAACAATTACTTTCAACTTAGGCAAACAATTACTTTCAACTTAGGCAAACAATTACTTTCAACTTAGGCAAACAATTACTCAAACACAGCAAAGGGAAAACTTTACTTTAAAAAGAAGTTAAAATTACACTAAGAGTGAATTTGTTCAAAGAAATACGAATAATATGCATAAAATAAAAGGAGATAAAATAGAGAACAGAGAAAGTGCAAAACTTACTGTAGAGCAGGAAACATAAACATCGAGAATCATTCACCATATTAACCATGAATGGTCTTGCAATATGGTCTTGTTTTGAGAAAAATGGAAATAATTCACTTACTTGCACACAAGACAATGGCACAATAGTCTGTGGAAATTGCAACAGACTAAAATAAAAAAAATACACAAAAGAATGTTACACACACAGTAAAATGGGAAACGCAACTCACTGGGAAAAATAGTAAATGAATTAACACAAAATCAGCAGGAATATACAAGGAAAATGCTGAGGAAATGTAAAAATAACAATGTAAGAACTAGAAAAATTGAATAATGCACAATACTGAAATATGAAGCAAAACATAAGGTAAATAATGTATAATGAAGTACTTCACTGAATGAATGACTGGACAATGTGTACAATACTTCACACAAGAGGCGAATGAGAAATGTAAACACAAGTTTATATGCCTTGCGGCAGTGTAGGGTGTTAACACAAATTATATATTGCACACAACACAGACAATATACTTCAGATATAAGGAAGGAACACAGCACAACATATATATAAAATAAGACACGAAAATGAAACAAGACAACACTAGAAAAAATGATTGCAAACAGAATCTAATGAACTCTAAGTCTTCAATTAAATCACAAGTCTCTGAATGTCACTAAGAAATTTACTGTAAAGTGAGAAAATGTCTCAAACACTGGCACATGTCAAAATAAACTACCTAGAAAAGACAAAGCAATTGATCAACAAACAAAAAGAGATAGTAGAGGGCAACGATTGACTAGCTCCTTTAACTTGACTCACGAAATCGTAATGACACGATTGAACACAAACCATACCACGGGCGGGGATAGAACCCGCGATCAGAGAGTCTCTGATCGCGGGTTCTATCCCCGCCCTTGGTATGGTTAGCTCCCTTAAAGTTTACTAAACAAATATTAGGAGTCTAAGAAACAAGATAGATGAGCTAAGATTACTTGCAAGTGCAGGTATTATTGCTATAACAGAGATCTGGTTCAACTTGAAAGATAGAGAAATGCCTTCTGAATGTAACATACAGGGTTATAAACTATTCCATACTGATAGGGTCAACAGGAAGGGTGGTGGAGTGGTGATGTATGTCAGAGATAATTTAACTTGTTGTGTTAGACATGATATAAGACTAGAAACATCGGTCACAGAATCTGTTTGGCTACAGTTTCTCGAGGGACGTGACAAATTAATTTTGGGTGTGATTTATAGGCCCCCAAACCTTGATAGGGAGTGCAGTAAGCTGTTATGGGACGAAATTCATAAGGCATCTAGATATGAAAATGTTGTGATAATGGGAGATTTTAACTTTAGACAAATTGATTGAAACAATATGACAGGAAATCTTGAGTCTAGTGACTTTCTTGATACGGTTCAGGATTGCTTTTTAGAACAGGTTGTGACAGAACCAACTAGAGGAAACAATCTGCTTGACTTGGTTCTTGCCAACAAAGAGTCACTAATTAATAATCTTGAGGTTAATGATGAGCTTGGGGAAAGTGATCACAAATCACTTAGTTTCAATATATCATGGAATTACCCAGATATCTACAATCAAATCTCTGTCCCAGATTTTCGCTTGGTCGACTTCATGGGGCTGAAAAATTACCTGGGTGGGCTAAATTGGGATGTGCTGACTATGGGTCAGGTAGGTGATCTTGGTTGCCAATATGACGTTTTTCAGAGCATAGTTCTAGCTTCCCAGACAACTTTTGTTCCGAGTAGAGAAATTAGATCTAACAAAAATGATCCCAAATTGATGAACAATAGATTAAAACATCTGATTGGTCAAAAGAGAGGCATATATAGGCGTATCAAAAGAGGGGATGGGCAGTTAAGAAATCAATATATTCAATTAAAGAGAAAAATAAAGAAAGGAATAAGAAAAGCAAAAAGGGATTATGAGGCTAAGGTCACAAGGGTTTCAAAGACTAACCCAAAAGGGTTCTTTCAGGTATACAGAAGTAAGATTAGGGACAAGACTGGCCCACTTAAGAGTAACTCTGGTCAGATCACTGACAGTGATAAGGATATGTGTGAAATTCTCAATACCTACTTCCTCTCAGTTTTCACCCAGGAAAATACTAGCGATATTCCTGAAATAATAGATTATGTAGAACAGGATAATAAACTATGTACGATTGCGGTAACTAGTTACATGGTCCTCAGACAAATAGAGAAACTAAAACCAAACAAATCCCCAGGCCCTGATGAACTGTTTGCAAGGGTGTTAAGGAATGTAAAGAGGAATTTAGCATAACTTTGGCTAATCTTTTTAACATATCACTACAAACTGGCATAGTGCCTGATAAGTGGAAAATGGCAAATGTAATACCTATTTACAAGGCAGGTGACAAGTCCTTGGCTTCGAACTATAGACCAATAAGCCTTACCTCCATAGTGGGAAAATTTATGGAATCAATAATTGCCGAAGCAATTCGTAGCCATCTTGACAGGCACAGATTGATTAATGAATCTCAACACGGTTTTACAAAGGGGCGTTCCTGTCTTACGAATATACTAACTTTTTTCACTAAGGTGTTTGAGGAGGTAGATAATGGTAATGAATATGATATTGTGTATATGGACTTCAGTAAGGCTTTCGACAGAGTTCCACACCTGAGGCTATTGAGGAAACTTAAGGCACACGGAATAGGAGAAGAATTTTTTTCCTGGGTTGAGGCATGGCTGACAAATAGACAGCAGAGAGTTTGCATAAATGGGGAGAAATCAGAATGGGGGCACGTCACAAGCGGGTTTCCTCAGGGGTCAGTGTTGGACCCGTTGTCGTTCACAATTTACATAAACGACATAGATGAGGGAATAAATAGCGACTAAAAAAGAGAAGAAGAAAAACTTTATAAAACTGGGATGCTTGGATGTGCGTGGATGTAGTGCGGATGACAAGAAACAGATGATTGCTGATGTTATGAATGAAAAGAAGTTGGATGTCCTGGCCCTAAGCGAAACAAAGCTGAAGGGGGTAAGGGAGTTTCGGTGGGGGGAAATAAATGGGATTAAATCTGGAGTATCTGAGAGAGTTAGAGCAAAGGAAGGGGTAGCAGTAATATTGAAGGATCAGTTATGGAAGGAGAAAAGAGAATATGAATGTGTAAATTCAAGAATTATGTGGATTAAAGTAAAGGTTGGATGCGAAAAGTGGGTCATAATAAGCGTGTATGCACCTGGAGAAGAGAGGAATGTAGAGGAGAGAGAGAGATTTTGGGAGATGTTAAGTGAATGTATAGGAGCCTTTGAACCAACTGAGAAAGTAATTGTGGTAAGGGACCTGAATGCTAAAGTAGGAGAAACTTTTAGATATGGTGTGGAAGGTAAGTTTGGGGTGCCAGGTGTAAATGATAATGGGAGCCCTTTGATTGAACTTTGTATTGAAAGGGGTTTAGTTATAGGTAATACATATTTTAAGACAAAGAGGATAAATAAGTATACAAGATATGATGTAGGGCGAAATGACAGTAGTTTGTTGGATTATGAATTGGTAAATAAAAGACTGTTGAGTAGACTTCAGGATGTACATGTTTATAGAGGGGCCACAGATATATCAGATCACTTTCTAGTTGTAGCTACGTTGAGAGTAAAAGGTAGATGGGATACAAGGAGAATAGAAGCATCAGGGAAGAGAGAGGTGAAGGTTTATAAACTAAAAGAGGAGGCAGTTATGGCAAGATATAAACAGCTATTGGAGGATAGATGGGCTAATGAGAGCATAGGCAATGGGGTCGAAGAGGTATGGGGTAGGTTTAAAAATGTAGTGTTAGAGTGTTCAGCAGAAGTTTGTGGTTACAGGAAAGTGGGTGCGGGAGGGAAGAGGAGCGATTGGTGGAATGATGATGTAAAGAGAGTAGTAAGGGAGAAAAAGTTAGCATATGAGAAGTTTTTACAAAGTAGAAGTGATGCAAGGAGGGAAGAGTATATGGAGAAAAAGAGAGAGGTTAAGAGAGTGGTGAAGCAATGTAAAAAGAGAGCAAATGAGAAAGTGGGTGAGATGTTATCTACAAGTTTTGTTGAAAATAAGAAAAAGTGAGATTAACAAGTTAAGGAAGCCTAGAGAACAAATGGATTTATCAGTTAAAAATAGGAGAGGAGAGTTATTAAATGGAGAGTTAGAGGTATTGGGAAGATGGAATGAATATTTTGAGGAATTGTTAAATGTTGATGAAGATAGGGAACCTGTGATTTCGTGTATAGGTCAAGGAGGAATAACATCTTGAAGGAGTGAGGAAGAGCCAGTTGTGAGTGTGGGGGAAGTTCGTGAGGCAGTAGGTAAAATGAAAGGGGGTAAGGCAGCCGGGATTGATGGGATAAAGATAGAAATGTTAAAAGCAGGTGGGGATATAGTTTTGGAGTGGTTGGTGCAATTATTTAATAAATGTATGGAAAAGGGTAAGGTACCTAGGGATTGGCAGAGAGCATGCATAGTTCCTTTGCATAAAGGCAAAGGGGACAAAAGAGAGTGCAAAAATTATAGGGGGATAAGACTGTTGAGTAGACTTCAGGATGTACATGTTTATAGAGGGGCCACAGATATATCAGATCACTTTCTAGTTGTAGCTACACTGAGAGTAAAAGGTAGATGGGATACAAGGAGAATAGAAGCATCAGGGAAGAGAGAGGTGAAGGTTTATAAACTAAAAGAGGAGGCAGTTAGGGTAAGATATAAACAGCTATTTGAGGATAGATGGGCTAATGAGAGCATAGGCAATGGGGTCGAAGAGGTATGGGGTAGGTTTAAAAATGTAGTGTTAGAGTGTTCAGCAGAAGTTCGTGGTTACAGGAAAGTGGGTGCGGGAGGGAAGAGGAGCGATTGGTGGAATGATGATGTAAAGAGAGTAGTAAGGGAGAAAAAGTTAGCATATGAGAAGTTTTTACAAAGTAGAAGTGATGCAAGGAGGGAAGAGTATATGGAGAAAAAGAGAGAGGTTAAGAGAGTGGTGAAGCAATGTAAAAAGAGAGCAAATGAGAGAGTGGGTAAGATGTTATCAACAAATTTTGTTGAAAATAAGAAAAAGTTTTGGAGGGAGATTAACAAGTTAAGAAAGCCTAGAGAACAAATGGATTTGTCAGTTAAAAATAGGAGAGGA